ATTTGAGGACAAACTGAGTCAGGACACATCTGAGGACAAACTGAGTCGGGACACATCTGAGGACAGACAGTGAAAATATTTGTACAAAATTGGAAGCTGACAGAAAGACAATCAGTGGACACTTTAGAAGACTTTTAGTAATCACAGTATCTTACTGACCCTCCTAGTATACAACAGAAGTTAAAATCAAACAATAAATCCTTAAAAATGTTTTTGTCCAATCAGGACAGTCTTCGTCCCATGTGGATGGACATACTCACATGTCTCTGAGCTGAGCGGCTTGTCTCTGGCAGGTCTTCAGAGTTTGTTGACGTGTTGTTGAGGTCACCACAGTTTGCTGTGAAGCTGCTTCATCCTCCCTTCTCTTCAGCTCTCGGATGGTCTTTTCATACTCTGTCTTTATGTTCAGCAGGAGTCTTTTAGAGGCTGTCATTTGGTTAATCACCTACACACACAAAAAAACAAACAAGTTTAACTTTACGACATGTTCCTGTGGTATGTTGTTCCTTCATCCTCCCCAGCAGCCAGACCCTCCTGTAATGAATCAAAGTGGGTTTGGTCAGCAGCTCTTCATAGTTTCTGAAGGGTTTTCAGAGATTTCTGAGTATCTTGTTCACAAGTGATGGTCAGATGGAACAAGAGATGGACATTATGTGCAGTAGTGAGGGTGTTGCTCTGGTTTGTCATGGTGAAGAAAATCTGAGCTGAAAGGCAAAGCGTTCAATTTTCTGGTCTGTCTGCAGTCCAGCCTTACCTAAGGATTGGATCATGATTGACAGAACAGAATCCAGGTTGCTGGCAGCTGACATGAGATTCCTTGTCCTCATCTGTATCTCATCAGGCTGCACCTGCTGAAGAGTAACTGGGATCTCATACAGCTGCATCTCAAAATATTAGAAAATTGTGAAACAGTTCAATATTTTCTGTCTTCATAAAGTGAAACTCATATTTTACATAGATTCATTCCACAGAGTGAAATGTTTCAAGCCTTTATTTCTTGTAGTTTTGATGTTTATAACTTACAGAAAATGAAAATTCAGAATTCAGTGTCTCAGAAACTGAGACTACTCCACAGTCAGGTTCTGGTTCCTTTGTCAGTGTGGGCCGGTGCCGAGCCCTGGTGGAAAATGAAACCATCATCTCCATGAAGCTCGTCAGCAGAAGAAGCATGAAGTCTCTAAAATGTCCTGCTAGATGCTGCGTGGACTGTGGACTTCAGAAAACCCAGTGGACCAGCACCAGCAGAGGACGTGGACCCAAACCATCACTGACTGTGGAAACTTCACTCTGGACTTGAACAACGTGGATTCTGGACCTCTCTACTCTTCCTCCACACTCTGAGACTTCATTTACAAATGACATGAACATTTACTTTCATGTGAAACGAGGACATTAGACACTGAGACAGTCCAGTTCTTTGTGTCCTCAACAGGTCAGACATTTCTGAAGTCTCTGGTTCAGGAGTGGCTGGACTCGAGGAATGAGACATTAGTAGCTCATGTTGAGAGTTAATCAGCTGATCAGAGTGACACCAGGAGTTTATAATATTGAACCTCTTCAAATATTATCATTTCCTGTGAGACTGAGTTTTGGTTTTTCATTATCTGTAAACCACAATCAACATTACAAGAAATGAAGACAAAATACTTCACTCTGTAATGAATCTATGTAATATATGAGTTTTATTTTATGAAGTGAGTGACATAAAAAATTTAACTTTTTTGAGATATTCTATAAATTTCAGATGCGCCTGTAATTACAAGAAGAAAAACAAACCTATAATCTTCACTTGGAAACCGCTGAAATGACACATTCAAATGAACCCAGAAATTTCTCCCAAATTTTGCTGGGAGTTAATTTTTAATGTAGAGCAAACGTGGCAGAACACAGCTCCAAAAAGCCCAGATCCATCTCTGCAGAACTGTGGACTCAAAAGGAGATGGGATCCACAATTCTGTGACTACTTTAAGAGAAAATTTGTCTTTTACATTTTCCCAACAAGTTCAAAATGCCAGTGACACGACAGCGAGTCCCTGCGACTCACTCAGACTGTTCAAGCATTTCTAGAAGTTCTGTAAACTCCTTGGTGAACGCTGCAGCTTTACAAACAGGACCAGGAGCTCCAACAGTGACATTTTGACAGTTACTAATACACAGCTCACAGTCAGCAGTCTGCGGTGCATTGTGGTGCACATGGATCCATGCATGCTTCATGTCTGTTGAAACATATTAATCTAAAGCAGGGGTCTGCAACCTGCGGCCACATGTGGCTCTTTGGTCTCTCTGCTCTTTCAAGCTTTGACTAAAACTAACATCAAACTGAATTCTATTGGTTGTTATAACAACAACAACAAAAAAAGGTTTTCCTGACTTTTTTTTTTGTAGCAAATATGTGAATGATAGTACAAATACATGAAGTAAAACATGATGACTACATGGGCAGCACGGTGGCACAACTGGTAGAGCTGCTGCCTCTCAGCGAGCAGGTCCCTGGTTCAAACCCCGGTCCAGGAGCCTTTCTGGGTGGAGTTTGCATGTTCTCTCCGTGCATGCGTGGGTTTTCTCCGGGTACTCCGGTTTCCTCCCACAGACCAAAAACATGCATGTTGGACTGATTGGTAACTCTAAATTGTCCCTAGGTGTGAGTGAGAGAGTGAATGGTTGTTTGTCTCATTTGTCTCTATGTGTCCCTGTGATGGACTTGCGACCTGTCCAGGGTGTACCCCGCCCCTCGCACAGTGATTGCTGGACATGGGCACCAGCGACCCTCGTGACCCAAAATGGAATAAACGGGTAAAGAAAATGGATGGATGGATGTTGACTACATCATGCTAGTAGTTTGTTAGCCACTTTTTTTAGCTGACTTCCAGTGTTACGGTGTGATCTTTTTCTCAACTTTCTTTGAATAGCTTTAAGTCAAGTTGCTGAGAAGAAACGGTGAGTCAGTTTGATAAAGTATTTATTTTTTGTTTATATGCAGCAAACTGGCCCAATTTTTACATGCACTTTAACTTGTGCTTAATTACTGGGGGCCGAGATGGTGTAGAGGCAGGGCAGCCGGCTTGGGACCCAAAAGTCCCAGGTTCGATCCCCAGTCAGTGCACATCACGTGGTGTCTTTGGGCAGCACACCTCATCCCCAAAATGCCTCCCGGGAGCCTTCAATAGCTGCCCACTGCACCACCTGGTGGTGGATGGGTTAAATGCAGAGACTAATTTCGCCATTGTATGGAAACATACAGTGCTGACATTGTGATGACATTATTATTATTATTATTATTATTACTCCAAAGTAGAATACTTAATTCATTTTTCAGGCCTGCATGCTTGTTTCAAATGTTTAAAAATGGGTAAAAACCATTTTTTCTTCTTTAAATGAATCTGGTCTTTTCTTTTTTTTATTGAAATGTAAAAATATCAATAAATGTTATCAATCATTAGTTGTTTTTTGTTTGATAATGCTCCCTCCAACAAACTTGTAGTGGTCCATGGGCCACCAGTTGAAAACCACAGTTGTTGCAGGTTTTGCAGCTCCGAACACATTTTATTTATTGAGCACAGGGGCAGAAATGTCTCTTTTAATTGTAAAGGTTGCACACCCCGCGTCTAAACAGTGTTTATTTATATGTATGTTTCTGCAGTCAACCGAGCAACGTTATATGCTGAGGACATTTTGATATGTGTTTTGCTTGGGACCCGAAAGTCCCAGGTTCGATCCCCAGTCACTGCACATCACGTGGCGTCTCTGGGCAGCACGTCTCATCCCCAAAATGTCCCCCGGGCGCTTTCAATAGCTGCCCACTGCACCACCTGGTGGTGGATGGGTTAAATTCAGAGACTAATTTCGCCATTGTATGGAAACATACAGTGCTGACATTGTGATGACATTATTATTATTATTATTATTATTATTATTATTACATAAAAATCAAGAAAAGACAGGTGTAAAGGACCAAAAGAATAGAGCTGAACATCATTTGAGCATGTGGGGCCTGATTTAATTCATGCACATTAGTAACTTTAAAATGGTCAATGTGGGGAAAGATCAGCTGCCCCACACAGAAAGAGATCAGCTGATGTGATTCAAGCATCAGATCTGGATCCCTCCTGGGTTTATCCTGAGATGCTCCAGGAGGAACTGGAGAGTTTTGATGAGTGTCTGCAGTGTGAATGAATAATGCTGAATAATTTTTCTGAAAGTTACTTTAAAATCTAAAGCTTACTTGAAATGCATCATTAGCTGAAAATTGGTAAGATTAAGCTGAAATAGCACAAAAAGCTAAACAGTAAAAAAAAAAAAAAAAATGCAGAGAAAGTTGAAAAATCAAAAAAGAACTAAAATGAGCTAAAATTTGCTAACTAGAAGCTGAAATGAGCATGAAAAAGGGAAGAAGTAGCAAAAATGTAGCAAAATGCAGAGAAATGAGACATAATGCAGAGGCAGAGCTTAAATGGGGGGGTTCCGCAGGGGTCCATACTGGGTCCCCTCCTATTCTCTTTATACCTGCTGCCGCTTGGTGCTATTTTCCGGAAACACAACATGCCCTTCCACTTCTATGCCGATGACTGTCAAATTTACTTCCCCCTAAGACACAATGGTACATGCTCTATTCAACCGCTGCTCAACTGCCTGGCTGACATCAGGGACTGGATGGCTTTAAATTTCTTAAGTTTCAATGAAAAGAAGTCTGAAGTCATGTTGTTCCCTCCCAACGACACGATCACAAACCACTGCATCGACCTTTCCGCTCTAACCCTGTCAGAAAAACAAAGAGTCACTAATCTGGGCGTGATAATGGACCCTTCCCTGAAACTTAACAATCATGTAAACATGATTGTTAAATCATGCTTCTTCCAACTGAGGCAGCTGTCTAAACTGAAGCCCATACTGTCCAAACAGAACCTGGAGACAGTAATACATGCATTCATTACATCTAGGCTTGATTACTGCAATTCACTCCTGTTTGGTATCAGTCAGACCTCCATTGCACGACTACAACTGGTCCAGAATGCAGCAGCCCGATTTTTAACCAGTACAGGCAAAAGAGAGCACATTACACCAGTTTTGGCCTCACTGCACTGGTTACCGGTTCACTTTCGAATCCAGTTCAAAATACTCATGTATGTCTACAAATCACTGAACAGTGTCGCCCCCCCCCCCCCCCATCTCTCTGATCTGCTACAACCGTATGTCCCACCACGTTCCCTGAGGTCAGCGGACCAGTTGCTCCTCACAGTTCCAGGAACTCGTCTTAAGCGCAGAGGTGACAGGGCCTTCTCTGTAGCAGGACCAAGACTCTGGAACGAGTTACCTCTGCTTGTCAGACAGGCCCCCTCCCTCTCCGTTTTCAAGTCTTGTTTAAAAACTCACTACTATTCAGTAGCTTTCAACACCAGATGATCTGTGTTTTGATCCTGTATGTTCCACACTGGTTTGTCGTCATTATCTGCATCGTTTTTATGTCTATATTCTGATTTACCTCATTTTGTATTTTGCTTTGTGTGTTACCGGTTGTTCTGTCTGTACAGCACTTTGGTTGGCCTTGTAGCTGTTTTAAGTGCTTTATAAATAAAGTGGTATGGTATAATTAGCTAAACATTAATAAACACTTTAGAAGCAAAAGTCCTAGTGTTAGGAGGCACTGTACACCTGATAAATACTAAAAGTAGCAAAATATTATCAAAAAGTAAGACAGCTGTGGGATTAACAGAATTAGCATTAGCAGAGCAAAAATATTAGCATTAAAAAAGAGTACAATTAATATTAGCAGAATTAGTAATAGCATAAAAATGCTAAATAGCAAGCAAAAAGCAGGTTTTATGAAATTCATTAAAAATATGGCAAAAACAATTTTTTTTTTTTCCTAAAAGCCAAAATAGCACAGAAGTCCCAGCATTAGTTCCGTTTGACAGAACATGGTCAGGTTTTTAACAAAAGTCTGAAAATAGTTTAGCTGAACTGAAACTGAGCTAAAAACAGCAATAAAAGAAACAAACCTTGACCCTCAGCAAGTCTTGAAAACTTCAGATCATCATAACCACTTTGAAAATATTCGTGAAAATTTGGATTTTGATTAAAACTTTTAAGATAACTCTAAACTGCTTATATTATAACCCGTTTTTATTTATAAGAAATACACTGAGTAAACAGTAATCACACACTGTGATGCGGATTGAACCTCTCTGGTTTTAGGCTAATAATAATATTATAATAATATAATAAAATTATAATACAGTAATGAGTTTTCTTCATCACCTTGTTGAACACGGAGCGGTAGAGGAAGTACCGGAGCTCGTCAGGCCCCTCTGCTGGACACTGCAGGTACATTTTCTCCTGGTCAATAAACTCGTAGAGACTTTGTAAAAACCTTCTGTCGCCCTCACACATCATGATATTCACTGTAGAATTATTATTTTTTTTTCATTTTAGCGTTCGTTGTTTTAGCCTCCGGCAACCCTAACTGACCATTTTGTTATTCAAACCCACTGTCCGCTGGTGCCTGTTTGCAAACATTTCTGTCGCTATGGTTACCGATTACTTCTAATTGCAAAATTAGTTAGTTTACAATATGACTGCATTTATAATCATTAACCTGAACTATTACATTCTTATCAAAAATATAGTATAGAACGTCGAAAAGGCAAAGAAATCCCTATATTATTGCTACCTTGAAACCATTTTTGATCGGGCATAGCGACGGTCAGCTGCTCCGTGGAATCGTGTATGGAAAACCCCGTGGCTCCTCTCGGAAGCCCTCTTCTCATGATCCGCCATTAGGAGTGAGCCGGTGGTGAGTGTTTCTCTGTGTTTTTGAACAAATTTTACAAGAAGTAATCATATTTAGTTACAGTATTTAGTCTGAGTGGAGAGTAAAGACTTGTTTTCATCTCTGTATGCAGGTGGACGAAACCCCAGGATGCAGATTTTTGTTAAAACCCTCACGGGGAAGACCATAACCCTCGAGGTAACTTGGATGCTACGTTAACTATTAGCTGTCGCCCCGAACTTTATTCATTGTACTGCCTAAATAAGGTAGAAAAGTCGAAATAAATCACTTGTTGTGCTCACGTTTGATATTTAAAACTTCCTTTGTGTATTTTGAGACATGAAACGAAGCTAGTTGGCTAACTCGAGACACCTCGCACGGCTGCACGTGTGGCGGCCGGTGGAACATGAGCTCAAATTTGAAAAGAAAATAATCCCAAAAGTCTTAATTTCAGGCTCATTTGTGTTTTTTTATTTATTTTTACAGGTTGAGCCTTCAGATACTATTGAAAATGTCAAGGCAAAGATCCAGGACAAAGAGGGTGAGTTTTATTTAATAAACTGTTAGTAAAATATCAAGTTGCCAAAAGATCTGAGGATGTCATCATATATTTATACCTTTACAAAGCTAATTAATGGAGGGTTAAATCTGTGTCAGGATGATAAAACGTAAGTGATGACTTTGATCAACTAAAACCACATCTTGGCTATTTCTGGTACATTTATTTAATGTTTATTGATTGTCCTTGTCATAGAAATCATTTCCTGTCTGGGATTTATGGTTTAATCATGAATGGGTTTCAGATGATCACAAATAGTAAACAACGTATTTTCTATTAGTCTGTGATTAAATTAAAGCTTTTAATGACTCAGTGAGCTCTGTTAGGTAAATGACTGAATAAAGAATTAATCCTTGAAACATCTTTAAAGAATATAGGTAAGATGCAGCTAATAGCATCGTTTGGTCACTTCTTTCAAGTTCAAGTCAATTTTATTGTCATTCGCATCACGTGGTACATGTGGAATGAAATTATGTACTCAGGGTCCAAGTTACACCCAAAAATAGCAAAAATGTAAACAGTAAAAAGAAACGGTATATAAGGATCTAAGATATACACTAAATGAACGGCAAACGGTACGCTAAAAGATTTAAGATATACTTTAAACACAAATATTGTAAAACAATACGGTGTAACAGCAGCAGCCCGGTATATCCTGCTGATATACCTTCAGTGTGAAACAGGTGACTACAGGTGAAGAACAGCGTTCACATGAACTGCTGTAGATTAATTACTTGAGATTCCAACAATCTAATTTGGCTGGTCCAGCCAACTCATTGGTTTTGTTGGAACTAAAAGAAGCTATCTAGAACAGGTAAGATGGTTATTACAGTTTTATACAGGAACTGCTTCCAAATTACCCAGCATGTCCATGGACTGGAAAAGCTACAACAATCTGGTAACATCTGGGTCTAAATGTTTTTACTGAACTTGATTGTTGGGACTTAAAATGAAAAGACCGACTTTGTTAGACCTCGATGGAAACACTGATCCAAACACTTGGATGAGTTTTGTGTTTTAGTGCAGGTGTTTTCACTTCATACTGCAGGTGTTGGTTTATAGTAAGGTGTCTAATTCGTACAGATGGGATGAAGCAGAACACATTCCTCCTGAGCTGCAGTTAAAACCGGATGGGTCAGACCTAAAAGCCGGGTCGGGTCGTTGGTCATCTTTTGATTTTGTTTGCAGGAATCCCTCCTGATCAGCAGAGGTTGATCTTTGCTGGAAAACAGCTGGAAGATGGACGCACACTGTCTGACTACAACATCCAGAAGGTCAGTTGTTGATTTATCGCTCCGCTTGAACCCAGATGAGTTTATAAAAACGGACTGCAGCTCTGACTGGGTTAGGGTGGTTAACATCTGGCCCCCCAACATATTTTAAATGTAAAATATTTAGATTGCTTCTCATTTCACTTAAAGTTGATCATTCTTTATTTAGTGCAGACTTCTCGTTGGTTGACTGAAGACACATTTCTTAAATTTTTTCATACTTTGTGATTGTGATGCAGGGAAAGTGACGGAACATGAAATGAGAACGATGAAAGTTGTCGAGGGACCTGCAACTGAAAACATGTTTTGACTGAAACTGAAATATATTTTACATTTCAGATCAGAGTTTGACGCCCTGGTATTAGATGATATAACTATATATTTAAAAGTACTGAAGCCCAAGTCTTGCATATAACTTTCAGGGCTTTTGTTTTGAAATAAAGATGACAAATCTGAAACGTTGAGGTTATTAAAAGGTGAATGACGAGTTTTAACGATTTATTGCATATTTTTTTTAATAAAGCACTTACACAGTTTAATTAGTTTTATATCCTAAGAGAATTAAAGCCATAAACAACGTGTTGTTGTTCAGCAGCAGGTAAGTCTTTGTTCTTCAGGTGTGTAACGTCGACTCTTGTTTTCAGGAGTCGACTCTTCACCTCGTGCTGAGGCTGCGAGGAGGCGCCAAGAAGAGGAAGAAGAAGTCCTACACCACGCCAAAGAAGAACAAGCACAAGAGGAAGAAGGTCAAACTCGCTGTGCTCAAGTACTACAAGGTACGAATGTGAAGATACACACACCCCACCACTCCCGACCCTCTGAGTTTCGTCTGCAGCAGGTTGAACTGTTCTGTCTGCAGGTGGACGAGAATGGTAAAATCCACCGTCTGAGGCGTGAGTGTCCCGCTGACGAGTGCGGCGCCGGCGTCTTCATGGCGAGCCACTTCGACCGCCATTACTGCGGGAAGTGCTGCCTGACGTACTGCTTCAACAAACCCGAGGACAAGTAAATGACGGCTGCAATAAAGATGAAAATGTCTGATCTAAAGGAGCCTCAGAGTGTTGATTCACTGACGAACTGTTTGAGTTCAAGATGCTTCCAGTCCCGACGGGTTCCTGAACTGACCATAAACTGCTTTCATGAGGCCAAAACTGATGGACGTGAATTATTTGAAGTTATTTAGGCTCATTTATATATTTCATGAAAGGGACACAAAATGCATTTTTCACAGGCAAACGTCATTTTATAAATGAACGATTTGAACAAAAATCATTCATTCAACCTTTATTTATTCAGCAGGCTACCCTCATTGAGCCACGGGGACTCGTTTACATGAGGGACCTGTTCCACACAACATGTAAAGTAAAAAGGCTCAATTTGAACTCGGGGAAAGTTCAGATGTGCAGAAGTTAACTGAGTAAATCAGTGTAAAGCTGTTTTTATTAAAAAATAAAAGCTTTCATCGGTTAAACGTCAAACCCTGGGAACAGTTGGAAGCTGGAAGTGTTTCATCAGATCTTACTGTTCAGTTTGGACTTTATTCACAGTTATGGTCTTATTTCAAAACATTAACTATACATCTCGTGCGATGACGTCACAGCTCAGATGAACGTTTCTCCAGGTGTTGCTACAACAAATCCATTGTCTTCTGCATGTTGTGAAGTCTGGTGGGGTGGTCAGCAGCTTGAGCAGGGAGGTCCAGACTCCACAGCCAGCAATTCTGGAAGGACCCCAAAGTGTTCCCAGGCCAACTGAGAGATTGGTCTCCAGCATGTCCTGGGTCTTCCCTGGGGTCTCCTCCCAGTTGGACATGTCCAACCAACAAGTCCACTTGTAATTCCCGCAGATTAGACATGATTTGACAGGAACACCTGCCTTTATATGTAGAACTAAGGAAGTTGACAATGGTGAGTAGTAATGGCCAAATTAAGCTTTTTTAGAAAAAGGTTAATTAATTTGAAGCATTTCACTTTTGTTTTTTTACATCGTGGGGTCAAAAGATTAGCAGCTTGAAACTAGAAATTGATTATTGCTGAAGGAAAAAAATCTGAAATTAGCAGAGGCTAAAAGCATAAAGATTTGAAGTTTTTGAAAGTATCCTAAACATTGAGTTGAAAAATGCTAAATGAGCAGAAATGAACCTAAAAGTAGCTTAAAACTGAATATAAGCTGCCTATTTGTCTAAACTAATGGCATCTGTCACTGCTGTGTGATAAAACTGTTTTAGGGTGGCCTTTTGTTGTGGTCAGCCTAAGGCTCACCTGTGCAGACCTGCTGTCTAATCAGCATCTTGATATCCCACCTGTGAGGTGGATGGCTTATCTTGGCAAAGAAGTGCTCAGAAGTGCTCACTAACAGATTTACACACATTTGTTATATTTGAGAGAAGGTCTTTAGTGTAAATAGACAAAGTCTTAGATCTTTAAGTTAAGCGCATGAAAAATGGGAGCACAACAAAAGTTGTGTTAATCTTTTTGTTCAGTGTACAAGCTGGAACATGTAGCTTAACGGTGAGAGTGGTTCAGAAACATTCATACTGTCGTGGCTTTTGGACCTGATGGCATTAGACCTCCAGTTCTGAACAGAACCTCAGTGTTATTTTGGATCAGAATGTCATTTAACCTCAAAACAAATGGTACCAGGACTGATCCTCCAGCTGAACATTATCACTAAAATTAGAAACACTGTCCTAAAATGATGCAGAACACCTGACCTATTCACCTCTCCAAGACTGGACTGATGTTCTTTATCTGGGTGTCCAAGCTCTTAAGAATCTTCAGTTGATTCAAAGATGTTCTGATGGAAACATCAGATTTGTCCAGTTTCAGCTACTCTCCGTTTACTTCGTCAGAATTTAAAATGTTCTAACATTTTAACATGGGGCATCTGTGGCTGAGTGGTTAGAGCAGTCCTCCTCCAATGCGGGGGGGGGGGGGGGGGGGGTTGAATTCACCAGCAGTCGGTGCACTAAGATTCATAACTAGCTGTGATTATCGTACCCACCACTGCGCCCTGTATTCACTGGTTAACTGGACATCATTAACTTCATGCAGACTCTCCCACTGGTACATTTTCATCTTTAAATCACTTCTTGGTCTGCTGCCTTCATACATCTCCTCCTACATGTCTCTGCGTGAGTGCAACTACAGAGTGCGCTCTCAGGACATT